GGAGCAGATAGTAGGTAGGTGGACCTGGCAGTGGGTGGGTTGAGCTGTTAGTGGGAGGGCGGAGCAGGCATTGGATGGCCAGGGAGGGCAGTAAGGAGCAGCAGGTGGGCGGAGCATCCTTTACTGGTGGGTGTGGTCTGTAGCTGTAGAGCGCAGTTCTCTTTTTCTGTGTTTTTGTGTTGGATTATAATGGAAGCTCCGCCCTTCTCTTCCAGGGGGCGGTGACGTTTGATGATGTCGCCGTCTATTTCACAGAGGAGGAATGGCGGACGTTACAGGAAGAGGAGAAGAATTGTGGTGCGGTTTTTGGTCATACTGATCCTCTCTCTTCCTCCGGCAGACCGCCCAGACCTCATCACCAACATTGAGTTAGGATGTGACCCGTACATCACCACGGCCGGGGCCGGCGCCATCCAAGGTGAGAACACATTGCCGTCAGTTGTGCGCCGGGACCGTCCCGCGTGTCCTGTGATAATGAAATGCGTCAGACGCTTCTCATTGCTTTTCACTGACCAGTTCACCCGGAATGAATGTGGATTCACTGCGGGAGAATGTTCCCTCGCATGTCGTCATGTGCGTTTTGTATACAATGTCTCCATATTTCAGGACGTCTCCTGGTTGGCTGTAATGGTTGTTTCTTCTTCTCGTCCTCTGACTCTTCTGCTTCATCTTCCATCAGATTCCTGGCAGGACGAGCGGCCGGCAGCCTCTGACAGAAGCGTATTTCAGGAGGACATTCACAGCACGGTGAGCACCGCATGTGTGCCGCCATTGAAGAGACAGCGGAGGTACCCCAGAGTCAACCCGTTCCGGTGGATCAAGAGACCAAAGAAGAGTAAAAGTCGTTCTCAGCGGACATCAAGAAGGTCGGAGCCCCGAGAGAACGAGGCGTGTCTACCATGGGGGGGTGAAACGGAGGAAGCCGGGGACAGCCGGGAGGGGCGCTCCGCACTGCACACTGAAGGCTCCTCAATCTCTCTACAGACCAGAGAAGAGGAAGTGGAGCAGAGCGTCCCTCAGGCGGAGGTTGGGAAGAGAATAAGTGAAGGTTGTCCACGTTCATGGACAATGTGCATAAGGGACACCAAGTACAAGCCAGATCTGAGGGTGACTCTCATCACGTCACGGGAGCCAGAGGGTGCAGCGGGCAATGGTGAGAGGGCGGCAGACCTTAGGCACCATATACTGCACACAGCAGGGGCTGAGAGACCCATTCTGCCCCCTGGCGGCCACAACCAAGGTATCCGGAGCGATGATGGTCCAGCTCAAAGCTATAGAGATGCTGCAAGTCCTCCTCAGTCTCCAACTAAAGCCACAGGTGACCTGACGGGCGCTGGGAGGTCTGTCCATCCGGATGATGGGAGGCACCCAGGAAAGAAGAGAATGGATTCTGTGTGTGAAGAGATGAAGACGTCTCCACCATGGAGGAGAGCGAAACGCGTCAAGTTCAGTGACACGGTCACCACGTTTATTATTGAACCAGAAGATGCTGAGAGGGGACCCGATGGTGGGATGAAGCTGAGGAGTAAAAGCCATCCGCGTCCTATAATTGTGAGGTCCGCAGGAGAGCCGAGGAACAGAGATGAAGAGCGCATGGTCACGAAGAGTCAGGACTCCGAGCCAGAGAGGAAGACCACCACGGTACATGACACGATGGGAGGAGGAAACCAAGATCTGAAAAGCCAGACTTCCAGGAGATCCATCACCATGAAGAAGAAGACGGAGAAGGTTCAAGGATCTCCACCAAGAGCAGAAAGTGGGACAGACACTGCAGAGCCTCCCCGGTCTACAAGGCCCCAGCTGCAGCCAAAGGGCAGAGATGAAGAGCACATGGTTACAAGGAGTCAGGACTCCAAGCCCAATGTCACACAGCCAGAGAGGAAGACCACCACAGTACGCGACACGACGGGAGGAGGAAGCCAAGGTCTGAAAAGTCACAATTCCAACAAGATGATCCAGAAGACGGAGGAGGTTCCAGGATCTCCGCCATGTGCAGAAAGTGGGAGAGCTGCTACAGGGCCACAGCTGCAGCCAAAGAAGAAGGACGTGGGGACACAGATGGATCTGATCCACAAAGAGGAGAAACCTCAAACAGAGAGTGAGATCCCGCTTACTCCCCCACCGCCAGCTAACGGAGACCAGAGCTTCGTGAAGTCCTATTCTTGCTCCAATTGTGGCAAAACTACCCACTGGACAAAGCTCAACGGCCAGCAGAAGGCCGACGTCAAAATGTCCTCTCTTCATATCTGCAAAATGTGTAGCCGGCAGAGCGATAAAAACAAAGCAGCACTTAGTCCACACATTGACCACAGCACCCAAAATACAACATCCACCAAGTGTGCCGAGTCCGGCGAAGCCATTGTGGCCAGGAGCCCCGCTAGAAAGAAGCCGCATTGTTCCCTTAAGGCCGATTTATCCATCGATGGTCCAACTGCTAAGAAGAAGCAAAAGCAGGAAGTGGAGGATGAGGAAACACCAAGGAACCCAGCCAATCATGATGTCCAGCTGAGGAAGGGTGGGGAGGAGTCACCAAGGAACCCAACCAGTCATAATGTCCAGCTGAAGAAGGGTGGGGAGGAGTCACCAAGGACCCTAACCAATCATAATGTCCAGCTGAGGAAGGGTGGGGAGGAGTCACCGAGGACCCTAACCAATCATAATGTCCAGCTGAAGAAGGGTGGGGAGTCACCAAGGACCTTAACCAATATCCAGCTGAAGAAGGGTGGGGAGTCACCAAGGACCTTAACCAATATCCAGCTGAAGAAGGGTGAGGAGGAGTCACCGAGGATCCCAACCAATCATAATGTCAAGGTGAAGAATTTTGGCCCCAACAAGAAGTGTTCAGCAGCACAGAACTTTCTCACCGCCAACAAATCCAACTTGTGTAGTCATTGTGAACTTTCTGCAGCCCCAGAACATGCGACTTTCCACCACAAAGTGAAAGCTCTCAATGGAACATCTCCCAAAAGGGCTTCTGCAAATGTCCCCTCAAGCCCGGAGAGGAGGAAGTCCAACAAGATTCTACACAATGAGCCAAGTTCTGTTCAAGAGGAGAAACTCGCATCTGATTCCAGATCCACCAGGAGCACCATCGGCCCCCAAGATCAGAAGAATGGGGTTCAGGCAAAGAACGAGGTGAAACATGGCGTGTGCACCAAGTGTGGAAAACTGCTTCTGAAGGGACAAAAGGCAAAGCCCCTGACCAGTATTCAGCATAAGAAACCGGCCCCAGGCGGCAGCTCCGCGTCCACGGGCAAAGTTCAGAAACCGGCTACAAAATCCGATGCCGCCAGGAAGGAACGGGTGAAAAAATTACCCGGTGACCCCAAAGAGAAGAAGAACACAGAGGGCCCGAAGAGTCCAAGACCACCCAGGGGGTCCAGAGATCGGGTTCTATGCACCAAATGTGGCAAAAGATTGGCCCTGCACGTGGCACCCAGCCCGGCCGGCCCCAGCGAGGGGGGAAGCGATGAAAATGAATGCGTCGTTCTCGCTAGGAAGAAGCGGAAGCGCCCTCTCGCTGGCATGGAGCCGTTCACGTGCAAAGAGTGCGGCAAAATCTTCACCCGCCACTTCACCCTGCTGCAGCACCGCCTAATACACACCGGGGAGCGCCCCTACGCCTGCAAAGTGTGCAGGAAGACGTTCAGGGACAGCAGCTATCTGATTGTCCACATGCGCTCCCACACCAAGGAGAAACCATACAGCTGCACCGAGTGCGGGAAGTGTTTCTCGCAGAACTCTGCCCTCCATGTCCACCTCAGAACGCACAGTGACGAGCGGCCCTTCAGTTGCAAGGACTGCGGGAAGAGCTTTACTGACCGATCCACCTACCGCCACCACCTGAGGATTCACACCGGCGAGAAGCCGTACGCCTGCTCCTACTGCGGCAAGAAATTCACGCAGCAGCCGCACATGAAGAGACACGAGACCATTCACACGGGGGAGCGGCCCTTTGGCTGCGCTCAGTGCGGGAAAAGGTTTATTGAGCGGACCAAGTTGAAGAAACACGAACGTATCCATCAGAAGGGGAAGGACTGAGTGGCAGCCAAGGGAAGGAAACCTTCTACAAGGGACAGAAGACCTTTATAGAGGAGAACCTCCCAGAGGGGAGGAACAGGCCCAGATCTGTCAGGCCTTCCTATGGGCGGAGCTCAGTGATGGAGAACGTGTATTGAGGCAGAGCGGGGCGAAGCGCCATGAAAGGTCTCCTTGGTCCTCCACTTTACCAACAAGTATTTCAGCAGAAGACCTCCCAGTTCACATAAGTGATGCCCCCCCTCCC